ATTTTAGCCAGGCTTCCCATCCTTCTATGACCTCCTACCTCATCTCCCATCCAAGCTCGCTGTTAAGATGCATCATAACAAATCTAGATGCAAGTCTCAATGTGCTAAATAGGACCACATGCAGTCAGCCAGAGGGAAAAGCCTTCCCGGCCAGATGAAGCCTGTGTGCTCGCAAACCTTCAGCACAGACCACTCTGGTGCAGACTGATAAGGAAAATGAAGAAATTATGTGAAGTAATGGGCATGAAAAGTATTAATCCCTCCCAAATGTAATATGCAATGCTTTAAAATTTCTTCCAATATCCTGTCAAGATCCTCAATGCAGTTCATTATGCCCACTGTAAAACACTGATTCACTTTAAATCCTTCATGTTCTCACTGCAGCTCTCGCAAGCTGACCAGAGAGAGAAAGATATTACTCTGCAAGTCCTACATACAGCCTGAATCTGTCAAAAAAGGTTTGATAAGGACCTCCATGTTTTTTTCTTCTTTTTTTTCTTCTTCATGTCTTTCAGCACTTGTCTGTGGAGGGCTCTAAAATAAGAAATCCCTTTCCGCAGATATAATTAATCACTCTGGGAGAACAGGGCGTGTAATTATTTAGGTTACCACAGAACTCTGCAAACCTCCTCCACCTCAACCCCTCTAAACTCTACATGGAAGGAAGGCTTTTAGGATGCATAGACCCACACCAGGTCCAAGTGCTGACCATGAAAAACCCGTTGCCATGTTTTACATCCGGCACGGTCACATGTAGGTACAGGGTGAATGACTGTTTTATGTCGTTTATTCATATTTTAGCAGGAGATTTCTTGGCTTCTCTGCACAACAGCTTTGAAATATTTAATGTGCTTTCTTCCTGATCAAAGTCGGCTTGCTTTTTCAAAGGTCTGAAGAATGAAAAGAGTTAAGCGAGGCTTTCATAAGAGCTGACATAATTCTGGTACTGACGACAGTACAGATGTGTGACGTCTGCTCTTGGATATTACACACAGTTGCCCTGCGCACTTTCTCCTTTCACACTTTTAGAAAAAAGTGTTGGCAAACAGAAGCGGAATATTTGATTATAAGTGAGACTGTGAAAGAGGGGGGTTGGACAGATTTTGCACCCTGTTTTCCTCCTTTTTCTCAAGGCTCTTGCAAGCAATTATGCATCCTCCCCCTTGCTGATAAACAGTTCAGCATCAGTTCACCAAAAGATTAACACTGGCACGACAAACCCACTTTGAAGTGGTCCTGGCTGATTCAAAAGTTGATCAATTGGGGGGACCCAAACTAAAGAGGCAGCCTCGTAATGTGAGCACTGCCAACTGGATAACACAGGATGTCCAAATGAGATATGGCTTCACTTGTCAGGAGGGTGATTGAGCAATGCTTTCCAAAGGAAGTGGAAACCGATGGTGGGATGCCCTGAAGTGGGTGGATTTCTAAGCCTGAGACTCTAAACCAGACGTCAACACACATTTTGCTAATTCCCCTGATGAGATGTGCTATTAAAGGGTGTTGTGTTGCAGTTCTGCTCTTAAGTAAGGACTCTGATTTTTCAGTGCCATCAGCTTCCTAAGCCTGTTCACATGGCTGCAACGTTTGCTGTGCCCACCTGAGCGGTCAAAGGACCGCTTAGCTAAAATGAGTTTAAAAATTTAGGGCAGGTGACAAAGTAATTGTCGATCTGTGGGGGAAAACACAAACAGTCAGTGTGTCAGTGCTTATAATCTTAATTAAATCTCCTTGAAGTTAGAAGTAGTTGGAAATAACTCCAATAGCTGTTTTACCTATATGTTAAATGGAAGTGAATGCCTTCCATGTCTGAGACAATCTGACACCCACATCACCCCAGAGAATGTTGTTGGTTCTGAAAAAAAAAAAATCTCCAGGCAACAATCACATCATGACAGACTAACTGCGGTGAAGGTCAAAATTAAAGAAAGCAGAGCAGTTTTTGAGTGACATTGACACAAGTAGTGCAGGGATTTTGTGAAGTTGAATCAAAATTGTTGTGCTCATGGAGGATGGTTTTAAGGTTTAAAGACACACAGATCATCAGTCAGGAATTTCTAAAATCCAATCATCATGTGAGAGACTCTTAATAAATGCTTTGATGCTTTGGGTGTGTTCTTCTTTTTACGTAAGCACAGATGTGAGACTCCCCCAGCCCGTTCTGGCCTTTGGTTTCTCTCCCACGTGTAGTCTCTGCACCAACTCTGAAGTGACTAATGCTTTAAAAGTTCCTGTAGCCAGGGGAAAGCTGTCAAGTAAAATTATACGTTGGAAAGATCTTTCATCATTGTGAATATTGTAATTTCTCTTTCCAGAGCAAATGGCAGAGCTGTGAAAGTGAAACATTAAGGCCAGAATAAAAACAGTTGTAATTTAAATGGAATTTGCATGATTCCTCCTTTTTGACTATTTTCTTTCTCTTTGCAATTTTGCACGCAACCCTTTCAGCCGATTTATTAACTCCTGCAGTGACGATAGTTTCCCATTTGACAACTGTTTTCAAGACACAGGAACCAAAATTGACTTTCTTTCCTGAAAAACTTGCCAGAGGGAGTCGATTTATATTCCGTCATATTTCTGATAATAGTAATCATGAAACATTCATCTGAATTCAATCTAGGTACATTCCTTTAAAAAAATATTTGGATTGAGTTTTTTCATTTTTCAGTAGCAGCAGCACTGCAGAAATGAAGCCATGAAAGAGCAGGCAAAAATATCCTTCAATAAGTTCTTCACGGCTTTCCATGACATTTAGTCTTCGGGGGAGAGTGCCATTGTATTCACAAACACCTGTTGGGCCTCAAGCAACAGACCCTCTGCATGACTTAAAAACTAAATTAAATATGTAATTATAAAATAAGTCGATACTTCAAATAATTTCCTTACTTGCTGACAACAAACTAAATCAAGTATATCTGAAACGGCGTTATCATTTTTATTTTATTCACAAAAGTATTCCGTCAACTTCAAACCAGGACATTAAATGTGCTTCATGTACTTTGGATTAATGTTGGCTCAAATCCCTCCCCACAGTGAGGGGGCACACAGAAGGTAACATGAGCCTATGTGACCCTGTTGGTTGAAGGTGGTTTAATAAACAGATGTACTGCAATAAGGAAAAATAAAACGCAAGGTTATTCTGGTGTGCAGTAACAGCCTTAAACATTCATAGGACTTTTGTCATAATCTATCTGTCACTGGGACTGGAACAGACTGGACATTTATCATTATGAAAAAAACTTTCATTGAATCTTAGTTTGATTTCAAATCAAATATCACTTTTGAAGCAGGTGCCATTTCATCAGTTTCTTCTTTTCTCTGACATTTCTATAGCATTTTCTTTTCCCTTTATTGGGGCATGGTTTGTCCAACATTTTACTTTGCACTGAGGAACTGTAAGTATGAATGAGTTGTCAAGGTGACCAAAAGAGAGAATATCAGACAGGGGAGAGAAGAACCTACTCAGAAAAATAGTGTTCAAAGGCAGAAGGATTGAAGAGAGTGTTTGAGAGAGAGAGCCCTGACAGGGAGGCAGCACACTGAAATAAAGGGGTGTTGTCTTACATTGGATCTGAAGATGAGCACAAAGACAAAAACTGTTTCCTCTAATTAATGTGATCTTCGCAGTGGGTGTAAGTTTAGCCAAATGCAGAGCCACATGAAGAGGCTGTGCACCTAAAACAACAAGGGGATTTGAAAGGTCATGGCCTCTTTATCTACAGATAGTTTTACAGGTGAACATGTCGAGTCTGGAACATGAGATCGAAGGTCGTCTTAAAGTGAGCACTCCGATTCTTGGAACAAAAGTCCCTCAACTGAAAATGAAACAAAGCTGTGTCACAGACACCACGGGAGAGAATGACAGTATGAATATAACATTACAGTTAAAGACATGGAACAAGGGAAGGCTGGAGGAGGTAATCTATAAAGATCGCTATGGCCGTTTCTTTTCATTGACTTTTTCTTCTTATATCGATTTAGACTCAACTCCTACATAACATTTCCATCATCTGCAGTCTTTAAATAGGGACGGCTTCAAACCGAGTCCAAGGAAATCCAAACCCCGCTCAAAAGCACATATCAGGGAGCCTGACTCCACTGTCTGCCAAGGACACTTCAAAAGAACTTCTTAAATGAAAGTTCCTGCTGGTTGCTATTGTCAACGTTTGGCAAGTCAGTATTTTGATTATCAATTAATTTCCAAAGGTCTTAAGACATCTAGCCAAAGCATTTGTGACCCTCCCCCCACAAAAAAAAAAAAGAAAAGAAATTTGAAAAACTGGCTGGATGTGGTGGTCTGATCGACGGTTGGCCAGGATGTGTTGTTTTGTTTTTTTTCTTTTTTGGAAAGCTCCATCCACTGAAACTGACAGGCTACCAAAAGACTCTTTGGCAGGTCCACTCACCCATTCATAGCAGTTCTTGGAAAAGGGAAACAAAATTGCTGTATTGCTTTCTGATGATAAGAACCAAATCACATCAGAAACCATGGAAGGCTCCTCGGACTGCTTTTTTGAGTTCCCTGAGATAATTCCTTTCTATACATTTTCTTTGATGTTACACTTTCTGTGAGTATTTGAGGAATAAAAGTGGTAGTGTAATAATAGAAACTATTTTCTGCAAGGGAAGGAAGGTTCAGGAGGGGCACTTTGTGTCCCTTCCTGATTTCATGTTTCAACTTTGGCTGCCACTCTGATTTATTAGGAAAAGTGTCCATCTATAGACTGTGACAAAATTGTCCCATCATCTTGTAATTATGAGCTCAATTCATCCTCATATGAACTGAGAAAAGAGAGTAAAATAAAAGTTAAACACCAAGCTTGTGACAGAAAAGAGAAAAGTCGTGTTGAAGACAGAGAAGAAAAATGTATTAATCCGTTCCTCAGAGGGATTCTGCTGTTTTTTGTTTTTCTTTTCTTGAGCAGTGTGACCATGGTTTAAGAATTGCTTCTGTGTAGTTGTTGTTTGCCTCCATCACACCATCACACTGCCTCCAGGTTTTAGTCAGCTTTCTTTAGTAGTTCATCAGTGCTTTCAGTCATTCTCCTCCTTACTGCTGGTGCTTTGTCTGATTATGTACGTACATCATGCAGAATACTAATGGAGCAAGTGAATGGTTACATGTTACTCCAAGTGGGGTTCAAGACCTCAGCTAATTAGGTTTAGCATCGGAGTGGAACAGAGTTTAATAGTTCTCCAGTACAACAGCTCATATGCGGAATTAAACTTGACTTAGCCGTGACATGCATTTTCTTTGCATGTCTGTCAGAGTATGACCTGAAAGTGCATGATATTTTTTACATACCTTTGAGGTCATTAGGACTGATGTAGGATCTGAGATCATCTCAGTGATACCAATGATAACAATTCACTGGAATATGGTGACTTGATTACACTTAGACACACCAACATTATGATGGTATTATACATTAAAGTTTCATATTTTACATTTTAATATCACATCTGGAAGGGAACAGTTCAATCGTGCATAGCTTAATGTATCAACTATTCCGTAACCCTGTAGGAGAGACTTGTACTTTTGGATTCATTCCATCTAAAATGCAGAGAACTTATCTATGCATGGAAACATGTCCTTAAAAGGTCCACTACCCAGAACAATAATCTATATTTCATTTCTCACACTGCATCCTTTCTAAACCTTGAACATTTTATCACACTGCAGGATCCATGTTACATTTAATAAAACATCCATCTCATAGTGCCACTAAGTGCACATCCAAAGGTCTACCGCAATCTGAGAGGTAATCGCTGCATGGTTGATTTGCAACTCCAGGTTATCCTTGGTTACTTTTTGACATTTGATTCGTATATTCATCACCTGGCTATCATCCCAATATAATGAGAGTACTTGTGTCATAAAGTAGAAGAGGAAATGACTTTCCCTTTGCATTGGGTCTACTTTTCTATTCCTGGGAACTGTATTACCCTCGGGGTGTAGTTGCCAAAGGTTAGCCCTGCAGATATAAAAATGTCATCTATAACACTTGTAGAAATGCTTTTATTTTTGGGATGGGGCTACCAGGGGAAGATTTTTAATTATGAATTGATATAAAGATCTAAGGTGAAAGAGAGCCCTGGGGAAGAGCAACAAAGGGAAGCAGGAAGGCAATTCGGCTGCAGGGCCTATGATGGAAAGCTCTAAAATACCCCCCTCAAAAGATGAAAAAGGACACATTTTGAAGACAATGGCTTTAGAAACTCTCAGAAAGTTTCATATTTAAAACTTTTCCTTTAAAGACTAATTGTGCTGCCACGGTGTTTGCTTCACCAACATAACAACACCCTGTACTGTAACTGAATAACGGACATGGAATAAAGGTATGTTTTGAGTTAAAAAGCATGAAACAGAACCAGAGTTTAGTGAGCAATACTGGGCCATGTGAACATTAATGGTGCCAGAACTTTTTGCCAAAATCATAAACCCCCACTTTTAGTGGCAGCAGTGTTCTCATGAGGATGATGAAGACCGAGCTGCTGCCAGCTGAAGGTGGCGATCAACCTGAAACCAGAATTAGAGAGGAGCATTTCCTAATCCCATATGTTCTATATAAAGTTGTGTGGCCAGGTTTAATAAACAGTGTACATGCCACTTCATTATTTACCTTTTTGTGGATAAACCCCTGTCCATAGAACCTAACCCCTGAAAAGCAAATGGTAATATTTACAGAGAGCGCACGCCGTCACCGTCGCTAAAGCTCAATCACTCAGAACAATACACTGTGTGTCAACATCCTCAAGCAAAGCTGGCTTCCAACACCAGGCTTTCTGCAGCAGCGATTTCAGAGGCAGCGTTTGGTAAAGCTTTACAGAGAATAAATAGACTGTGTCAAAAAGAGGCAGAATCTAATACAACGGATAATTAGGAGTGCCCAGAACACAGTCAGTGGCCCATCTAACCAGCATATGAGGTGTCAGTAAACTGTCCCAAGAGCCTGAGAAGTACAACGAGAGAACCCCCTCCCAGTGGCAGCTGTTCACCATCCTTCCATCTGCAAAGTGATGGACTGCTGTACTTCCATATGCTGGAGCAGTTTCTTGGCTCACTCAACATTTATAAATCTGAAAAGGATTTTGTGGCTTGTCAAATATTTTTTTTTTTTTTTTCGACTTGTCATACAGAGCAGTTAACATTTGAAATGGCATAACTATATCCTATTGTCATTCAAATAATCTGCAAAATATGGTTAAATAGTAACACCCTTTCTTTTTTCACATCTTTGGGAAATCGGTACCAGATGTGATTGTGCATACAGGTTAAACTTTGTAATGGTAATGATTTAATAATTTTGTCATTGGAACTACAACACTCATGAATTAAACAGCAGTTAGGAGTGATAGGAGGCGCAGAGCTGCATGTAAATATGGAGGCTCATGCTTGATGGAGAAATCGCTGAGCTGTGGGGTAGATGTGTGACCTGGGAAAAACATCCCAGCATAGGTTTGTGTGATCTTACTTCTATGCAAAGTTGGAGGTGGCTTCTCTATCTCAATTTTCTCAATTAATGTTAAGCTAGCCTGCATCTCCCTTTCGGCAAATTCATTCAAATTCATTTTCAGTATTTAGAAAAAGACAAAGTCTCAGTTTTCATTGTTTCAGAGCATTTGGGTCGTCTGCTTCAGTGGGACATTCAAACATGTGAGGGCACCAATGCCCTGCAGACTGATGCTCCCCTGATGCTGGCTTTCATCTCTCTCTGATAGCCACCAGGATAGATAGTTCTTCTTTTGCACATAGAACCAAATGAGGGTCATATTTCTCTCCCACACCTTCAGGATGGAAATTGTATCCTTTCACATCATGGTCTTTACATGTTGAAAGTTATGGATAGCTCTCTGTTAAACACACCTCAGGAGGTGATAGAAAAATCTGCTATACGTTTAGTTAATTTAACCTATCTTTCTTACAAAATTAAAAAAAAAATAAACTAGAAATTCTATGGTAAACAGTAAGCATGTGGTATAAACAAAAAAGAAAAACAAATGTTTGTCTTAATACTCCTACTTTAAGAATGAGATGAGGATGCCCCTCCTCAGAAAGTGTATATCAGCTGTAGCCACAGATGTCTGATGTTTACCAGAACAAATCTGAGCTGTTTTGACGCTGATTCCTGGAAAAGATGGAAGCTGCTTGATATGTGAAAGGCTCACAGGTGAGATTGTGCTGTGTTTAATGTTCTCTCCACACTTGAGCAAAAGGGGACAAAGCAAGTGGCTCTTGGCACACACCTTCCCACTCAGAGTGCTCTCCAAGGCTATACTTTTTAGCACATTCCGGCCTTATGTTCCCCCACCTGTATTGGCCTTTCTGAGTAAGAGAGGCAGCTCAATAGGGAGGGAGAGGGGGAGCTGTCTGGAATACTGTCCCCCTGTTGCTTAATGTTCTTGGCCTCAAGCTGTGGCAGCAATAGAAACAATGTCATCTTTGCATGGCTGCACATTGCAGGTAGCAGTGTTTACAGCCTGGCTGGAGCAACTGGTCCCCCACTGGTTGATAGGATACATTATCCACACTTGCTTTTTACTCTGATAACATGAGCATGAATCGTTGGTGAGCATTTAGAATTGCTGAGAATGTTGCAATTGCCTTTTATTTCCCTTGTTTTAGGGTTAGAGTCTCAGGGTATAAATGTCAGAAAGGTAGTGTTTATCACAGTTTCATGGACTCTGCCTGCAGAGCTTTCAACTGAAAGTCCATCTTCATAGTCATAAAAACGTTGCCTTTTTTTCTTTTTCTTGCTGTGCACTGCAGTGCTTTTAGCTTGATAAATCAGTCAATGAATTGGGTGCAGGTTTCTGTGAGTGTAAAAACCAGCAGAGGCAACTTGTAGTCAGTAAAGCAAAATTTAA